GTGCCACTGTGCCACGACATGAGGGCCCGTCCAACGCTTGCAGCTTTAATTATTTTTGATAGTTTATGATCCCCGTTAATTTATTATGTATTTCCCTTGTAAATGTTATTTGTTTTTATGTCTGTAACAATTGTGCAGCTGCTTGACTGGGCCAGGGCACTATTGGTGATCTGTAATCTCAGTTAGACTTTTCCTGGGTAAAGAAAGGTTATAAATAAATACAAATAAGAAAAAAAATCCCATAATTTTACAGCTTACAGTGGATCATCCCTTACAGTCATTTTATCAAGTGATGTTGACGTGAACAAAGTTTATTATAATGGCTGTTACCTCAGCTCATACATAGGCCTATCCCGCAAAAACCACAAACCCTGGCATCCAAAATGATTTTGGTGTGAACAGTGTGAATTTCTGTGTACTAATAGTGACTGTTCTGCCACTCAACTAATGCCATGGTTGAGGTTAGGGAAGTTGCCTCAACTCCTTAAACAAAAGCATCCCTAGCTAGCTAGTTAGCGACCGTATAGCGCTTCTGGTGCATCTCATACACACGTACCTGGGGGCGTGTACTATAGACGCTTTCAACGGTAACAACTTAAACAAACGGTACTGCGCATGTACACTACTCTGGCCCAAACTTAACTTCTGGCAGACTTCTGCAAGCGATCCATAACAAGTAAATAACCTTAGCTGCAAGTCTGCCAGTCAGGCAAGAGCAGTAACAGCTCAACCGTAGTGAACGGTGGTCCGTCACACTGCCCTCCCCTTCAGGAGGCGCCCCATTACTCTTCACGCATACAGGCGTCCTTCACAACTCCCAAAATCGCTGTTTTGCGTACAATAGACATGTCTTTTCCAAAGTGTGTATATATGACGCCTGAGCAGTGCAGGACTAAATCTTAAGTGTCAGGCTGTGTCCGAAATCATTCACTACTCCCTACCCCCTCTGTAGGGAGATGAATGTAATATAGTGAGCTCACTCACATTATTAAAACAACACTTTCGGACATTACTCCGATCGTTATTTCGGCACGGTTAATTACGTCATTGCCGTCGGACAATAAGTTTTTCTATCAGTGCAATGCATGATGGTATATACGGCTTGGTTAGTGACCATATTTAAGAATATTCTCAGACAAAGTCACATTGAATGGTGAAATTCCACAGAGGAGTTTATATTCAACACACATTTAACAATGAAGAATTTTCAAGATAATACATTATGATACAGGCCTACACATTAATGAAAGATAAAAAAGTTGATCTTTATATGAGCGCCATCAAATGCGCCTACTACTACTGTGAAGCCGGCTATTTGCATGAACTGTGTTTGCTTCTGTCGGATTACGGGGAGTGTTGTTGGGAAGTCAATGAAACGCGTGACTGTGAATGTCTGGAGCTGTAGCTATAATTGTTTCCATGACTATTCGGCTTATTGATGGTTGCTGCGTTTGTCCTGTGGCAAAGAAACGAAGCGTCATCACCACCTTCAGTTTAACTGAAAACGCATTACTGCCTAAAGTCAGTGGTGAGATGACATCCCTCACCAACTCGCTGACAAAGTTTGTGCCTGCGTTGTCCGACCCCACCTTATTAACTGCACGTCGTCAAATAATTCAGAAATTCTTCCTCTTCTGAAATATTCGTGCATGCCTCTGTCTCCACAGCGCCATCACAAGCCCCTACTGGCAGCTCCGGACAACTTGACCTCTCAAGCTGTCTTAAATAATTGAGAGAGTGAGAGTGATTCTTAGCTTTAAGAAATGTGATAACTTGCTTTTATTCTTAAGTTTAAAAGTAGGAGTAAATTTCATGAATCTCAGCACTAGACTAAAATGGCACTTTGAGAAGCTTGTGGGCCCTGGCTTGTAACTTACAGGAAGTTTCCTTGCATTTCTGATCAAAGACTGTTAGTCAGCTACTTTCTCAGCTCAGACTTCCAGTCGGTCAGTGTGACGAATCATTTGTGATACAGCACTGATGTAAAACCAGGCCTGAGTCTAATGGACAGAGGAGTTACTGTAAACCAGCAGAGACAGAAGGCTGACTGTACGACATCTGTCAGACTGTTCATTTATCTCTTTTCATTCTTTAAAAAGAAGCATTTTTCTATGGAAATGAAGTTTGCTTTCCTGACTGTTCCCACACCATCACCCTATTCCTTCTAAATACAGTGTGTGTGTTTGACAGTGGTTAAAAGAGAATGATTGGTTTGATGGGTTACACACTCTACACAGGCGTTTGTGGCTGACATGCACAACAATTGTCCAACAGTCAATGAATTCCCCTTGAAATTTAAAGTCAGCACTCCAGTTATTATTATGTTTCAGCATGGGTCTAGCTTTGCCAGCGTCCAGCGTAAGTCCATCCGTCCATCCATCCATCGTCAACCGCTTATCCTGTGTGCAGGGTCGCGGGGGGCTGGAGCCAATCCCAGCTGACATTGGGCGAAATTCAGCGCTATTGGCTACTGTAAACGCCAATCTGCAACAAGTCCCTTCCTGTCTTTGTGTTTTTAAATATGCAGAAGCAAATAGCCCATCTTTCACGGGAAAATCAACTTAAAAAAGGTTAAAATCTTGTCATGAGAACAAAATCAATCAGGTCTATGTTGTTTGAATGAATCATTAGTCAACATTGTATACGATTAATAAAGTAGAGTTATTTTTCAATTTTAAACCAATAAACTAATAACTTAGAAACAAAATAGTCTTAAAAACCAACATGTTAATGAATCGTGATAAGATCGTGAACAGTGATCCTGCCTGAAATAATTCGTGATATGATATTTTTGCCATATCGCCCACCCCTGCTCTGAAGTAGGGGCTAAAAAAGTCCCTCAAAACGGCATTCGAAGAAATAAAAATGTTTTCCAGGTCTTTCAATAGGGACACAACAGTACAACTAGTACAAGAAAACAAACAGAAAAGTGTGACCAGTTCATGCAAGACACTAAAAACACCATAAAAACATAAAACACGCTCTTAAACGTGAGGTTACCTGAGATGATTTAGCAGGGTTATCGCTTAGAACAGCTGGACAAAACTACAAAAATGAAGACGCAAGTTGTGATAAAGCAGCACTATCTTTTCTTTCAGATCGACGGCTGACCAAGACTCACCAATATTAAAAAACGGACTGCTCCTGCTGGCGTGTAACAAACCGTGATACTGTGACCAAACAGTAAATGATTCTTTTGTAGATCTTCAGTCATTTTGTAAGTGAAGGTGTCACTGTTTGCAAATGGAGGATCTCTCATTTTGGAACCATACTCCAGTAAATAAAGTCCCTCCTGTGTGTGTGTGTGCGTGTGTGTGTGTGTGTCACTGCACACTGCCGGCAAATGCAGTGATGACTCATGCTACACACACAAGCACCATCTGTTTGACAGACAGGCTGAATCACACGGCGAAGGGAAGCAGTGTGTGTGTGAGGCTGGAGACGAGGCAGGCAGCATCTCCCGCCTCTCTCCGGCCCGTTAGGATGTAGTGGCGGCGACGGTGGGCAGCACAGCTCGACAACCTGTCGTCAACAGAGACCGGCATGACACTGTGACCGTGCAAACAGGATGTACAAGAGATGACGGAGCACACAAGGCAAGACGGAGAGAGTGTTGTAATTTTTATTTAATCCCAACCTTCATTTTGCTTCCTCTTCCTATTTTGCCTCGGTGCTGCTTCATGAGCCGTCTCCATTTTTCTCTAAATGTGAAGGTTCAGTCTCTGCTTGCAGCTCAGACAGGCGATGGACAGGGTTTGTTTTGTCTGTGTGTGCATGTTTGTGTGATCACACGTGAGTAATGTCATGTCCAGTAAAGAACATGCTGGACTGCTCCAGAGGGAAGAAGGACGAGGCCACCTGGTTGCAGATGCTGGTGGGGGTGTCACTGACAAGAAATTGCTCACTACCGGTCGGTCCATTCCAGGGTTTCGCAATCATTTTCCACTGAAATTAATAAAATTGCAGATTTAGATATTTGGCTCACAGATTCAAACTCGCATCTCCAACTCATGCAACCTATTACAAGCTTTAATCTTACTGCAATGCATGGGCACCTCTTTAATTTAGCTAAATTTACCCAGGAGGCACGATTTTCAATGAATGTGTACAGGTATGGCCATGAGCTGTCATCTTTATAATGTCTGTGGCTTTATAGTTTCTGCTGCTTACTTGAATGTTTTTCATCAGCTGTTTGCTGATGGTATTTTGTCAACAAGATTGATAAAAAATTGCACATGCAATACTTGCTGTCTACATTTTCTTCATTTGGTGGACCAACACATTCTCACTCCCAACTCGTCACATATGGACCCTTTGGCATCGCTTTTTAAACACCCTGGTTAACCAGCGTTTTTTGACGTTTCAAGTTAGCAACAATAAATATGCAACATCTGGTTAGACTTTCAAAATAAAAGTACTTGTTAACGTTGAAATGTCGCAATTTTTAAACGGCACGTTGTTAATGTTGTGAAACATCGCACTTTGGTGAGGTTTAGGCAACAAAACTACTTGATTAGGTTTAGGAAAAGCTGAAGTGATGAGATGAAGTTACAAATGTCAGTTAAATTACATAAATTAAGAAATGTTACTTGCACAACTTACTAGGTTACCTATGTAATTTCAATAGAAGAATTAAATTCCAATTCTTTCAAAAGGGACACTACAGGGCTTCCCCAGTGCGTTGAACTATAAAACTACGAGACTCCCAAGTGTGTTACAAACCGACGCCAATGGGTCTTGACCATGCGTCCATGTGCCCGCTGGGAGTGAGACCGTGTTGGGTGGTCAGTTGGACTTTCCTTCTGTCTGTAGCGTACAGTAGCCTTTTATTGGCCGTTTTACGCAAAGTTTCCTCAGCAGACAGTCGCAAGACTAGAAAGGTGCCATAAAAGCACAGTCTTTAAATCCTGGAAAACATATTTTGGCGTCATGTTTCAGCTACCTGTACCTCCTCCACAGCTCGCCATGCTAACCGATCGTTTCTCTGTGGTTTGCTGCAGTGACAGCTATATTGTGCGCGTCAAAGCGGTGGTGATGACCAGAGACGATTCGAGTGGCGGCTGGTTGGCGCAGGATGGCTGCCTGAGCAGAGTGGGCGTGTGCAGGCTGCTGTCGGCGGAACTGCTGGGACGCAATACCTTCCTCATCCACGGAGAACGCCTCAAAGACAAGCAGGTCAGTCCAGCATGTGTTATTCATGTGAATACAGAGAATAATGTTTTCTTTGCAGCTCAGTGCTCATTGCTGTCACTTCATTTTCCAGAATTCATCTGTCAATCAAACTGCTTTGATTCCTTTAGATTTCCTGTTTGTGCAGTTTCTGTAGTAAATACTGTATATTTTTCTAAATTCAAAATGATTACTCCTCTCTATTAATCTTAAGGCTACATGCACACACTGGAGGTCTTGCTTTTTTTCTTAAACCATGAGCTCACGGGCAGTTTTGGAAATACAAATAAAGCAAACCAATACCAAATGTGACGTTTCAGGCTGTCATGGCTTCTAACAACACATATCAACACCACATAAACATGGACACACATAACACTTAAAGCTCTGAACGTCATGTAAACTATGTAAGTACCTACAGAAGAAACTTTTAAACCACTGTTCAATGTCTAAAAGTTTATTTAACGGACGTACAATTAATTTGAGGATTCACAGACTTCCACGCCAATGTTCTTGCACCCGTCACCCTGTGCGGGCTGCATACACACTGCTAAATATCATGACCGATGAAATGCAGTGGGAGCCCAGGTAATGTTTTACCGATGCAACATTAAAAATCCAATGTTGTCAGTTTCTACTGTATTTTCTTTTCCAGGTGATTCTGGAGTGTTTCTTAAAGAAGGATCTGGTCTACACAAAGGCCACGCCAACTTTCCACCACTGGAAGGTAGATAACAAAAAGTGTGGCCTGACCTTCCAGAGTCCAGCCGACGCCAGAGCCTTCGACCGCGGGGTGAGGAAGGCCCTGGAGGACCTGACAGAAGGTACCCACTAGTCCCAAGGTTGGGCAGTAACATGTTACATTTACATTACATTTATTCATTTAGCTGACGCCTTTATCCAAAGCGACTTACAATTGCTATATATTTCAGAGGTTGCATGCCTCTGGAGCAACTAGGGGTTAAGTGTCTTGCTCAGGGATGGTGGATGTGTCACAATGGGGAGTTGAACATGGGTCTCTCACACCAGAGGCATGTGTCTTATCCATCCCATCACCACCCACATATAGTAACCCATGTTACTGTAATATTATTACTTTCTTCAGTAACTAGTAGTGTAAGGAATTACTATTTCCAAATCTGTTACAATATTAGTTATTAATCCAAGTAACGCTGCGTTACTGTGATTGTCCTTGACGTGTTTGCGCGACTGCTGGTCAGCGGCAGCTGCTAGCCTAAAAGCTGAAGGAAGGAAGGAGAACAAGGGAGAGAGGCGTTCTTTCCACAGCTGTAAGAATTGCCATTATTGTGAGTTTGTCACAGTCTAACATCCAAAGAACATTCTTGTCCGTTGAAAACTTTGTGAAACAAGCAACAAGCTTTCAACCGCGAACAATTCTACATCTAATTTATTGAAGCATCGACTAAAGCAGCACAGCAATGTGAAAATGATCGGGATAACATTTGCAATGTCTAGAAGAGCTGCACTACTAAATCATTTTACCCCCATTCAAGCTAGTGGGGGGCTAAACCGGAACACAGTGGAACATAGAAACCCCATCAGGAACTGGGATTTTGGCTGTGTATTTGCAGAACGATGCAGACACAAACGCACAAGTATTAATCAGAAATCAGAAATCAGAAATACTTTATTGATCCCCGAAGGGAAATTCTGTGTTACAGTTGCACACATTGCACAAGGGCAAAGGAATATAATAAAGATAGTGGTATATAGAGAAGTATATAAATATTAGAGTAAAAATATCAATAAAATAATATAAAGACTGTGTATATGTACAATATTTACATAACTAAGGAATTGTTATGGTGAACAGTAATAAGGACTAAACTGCAGCAGAGAGTATTGCACATTATAATTTAAGCAAGGGTTATTGCACAAAACAGATAATAATGTCCAGTTTAAAAACTAAGTGTCTGTGTGTCAGACACTTAGAGGGAGGAGTTATAAAGTTTGATGACCACAGGCAGGAATGACTTCCATTTTGGGGGAATAAGTCTTGCACTGAAAGTGCTCCTGTGTTTGAGCAGCATGGAGTGGGTGGGAGACATTGTCCAAGATGACATGTAACTTGGACAGCATCCTCCTCTCTGACACCACCGACAGAGAGTCCAGCTCCACCCCCACAATGTCACTGGCCTTGTGGATCAGTTTGTTGAGCCTGTTAGCGTCCGCTACCCTCAACCTGCTGCCCCAGCATGCACCAGCAAACAGGATAGCACTGGCCACCACAGACGCATAAAAGATCCTCAGCATCGTCCTGCAGATGTTGAAGGACCTCAGCCTCCTCAGAGAATAGAGACGGCTTTGGCCCTTCCTGTAGAGGGCTTGAGTGTTCTTGGCCCGGTCCAGTTTATTGTCCATGTGCACTCCCAGGTATTTGTAATCCTCCACAATGTCCACAGGGACCCCCTGGATGGAAACAGGGCTCACTGGTGCCTTGTCTATCCTTCGATCCACAACCAGCTCCTTAGTCTTTGTCACGCTGAGCTGTAGATGGTTCTGCTCACACCATGTGACAAAGTCCCCCACCACAGCTCTGTACTCAGCCTCGTCACCCTTGCTGATACATCCAGCCACAGCAGTCATCAGAAAACTTCTGAAGATGGCAGGACTGGTAGTTGAAGTCTGTGGTGTAGATGGTGAAGAGGAAGGGAGAGAGGACAGTCCCCTGCGGGGCCCCGGTGTTGCTGACCACGCTGTCTGACACACAGTGTTGCAGACGCACATACTGTGGTCTGCCAGTCAGGTAGTCAACAATCCAGGACACAAGGGGGGCATCCACCTGCATCGCTGTCAGCTTCTCACCCAGCAGGGCCGGCCGGATGGTGTTGAAAGCACTGGAGAAGTCAAAAAACATGACCCTCACAGTGCTCGCCCGCTTGTCCAGGTGGGCGTAGATGCATTTGAGCAGGAAGACGATGGCGTCCTCAACTCCCAGTCGGGGCTGGTAGGCAAACTGGAAGGGGTCCAGGAGAGGTCTCACCATGGGCCGCAGCTGATCCAGAACCAGTCTCTCCAGGGTCTTCATGATGTGGGAGGTCAGTGCCACAGGTCTGTAGTTCTTGGAGTCACTGGGACGTGGCGTCTTTGGCACAGGAACGAGGCAAGATGTCTTCCAAAGCACAGGGACCCTGTGGAGACTCAGGCTCAGGCTTTTTTAGCCCCTACTTCAGCTCAGGTTGAAGACATGGTGAAGGACTCCACATAGCTGGGGGGCACAGGCTTTGAGCGCCCCGGGACGGACACCATCAGGGCCTGCAGCCTTATTAGAGTAGAGTCTCCTCCGCTGTCTTCTCACCTGATCAGCAGTGAGGCACACAGAGGTCACAGGTGAGGGAGGGAGAGAGGAGTCGTCGTCAGGCTGGAGAGAGCTGTTAACCTGAGAGCTGGAGGAGGGGGGAGTAGGGATCTCCCAGGAGGAGGGCCAGAGACAGTGAGGAGGGGGGAGTAGGGATCTCCCAGGAGGAGGGCCAGAGACAGTGAGGAGGGCGGAGTAGTTGGTTTGGAGGTGAGACAGCAGCTGAGTTAGTGGGGGGATGGGAAGTAGCCATAGCATCAAATCTGTTAAAGAACAGATTAAGTTGGTTGGCCCTGTCCAAGCTGCCTTCAACTCCTCTGCTGCCAGTGATGTTCCTCATGCCGCTCCAGACCTCCCTCATATTGTTCTGCTGGAGTTTAAGCTCCAGCTTCCTCCTGTAATTCTCCTTAGCCTCCCTGATCTTCACCTTCAGGTCCCCCTGAATAGCCTTCACCTCCTCCCTGTTCCCGTCTCTGAAAGACCTCCTCTTTGCATTCAGGATGTTCTTGATGTCCTTTGTTACCCACGGTTTGTTGTTTGGGCAACACTGAACAGTCTATAAACAGTCTTTGTTGGGACAGTGCAGTCCACACAGAATGCTCACAGTACCGTAGACTACGGAGTAGACTGAAGCATAAGTATAAATTGGATTTGTCCTGCACCAACTAAACTGTGTTGGTACTGCAAAATTTAAGACCCAGAGCTGCATTTTTTCTTTATTTTATAACTGACTGTTAGGTTGCCAGCAACACATTGGCTAAATTATATTTGAAAAGATGGAAGTAATTTGGCCTGAAAGGTCCAGACCATTCTTCAAACTACTGTAGTGTTGCATAGCATGGCAAAAAAAATCTAGCTTTTTGCTGTCACCATTATCTGAAGCGCTCCGTTCAGAAAGTAGTGAACTGTGGTTGGAGTGAAAAGAAGCTGATAAAATAAAATAAGTTGTCTCAGTTCTTATCGCACTGATCCTCCTGTGTGTTCTCCAGGGTCGACAACGTCCTCATCAACGCTGCAGAACGAGGCGGAGCTCGGAGATGACGATGTCTTCACGGTGAGAAACTCTTCCTCCAGCTTCTAAAACACTGATGAATGGAAATGTCCAGGATCTACTGTCACTCCTGTATCACAATTTACAGTTTTTCTCAATTGCTTAAACACTTTCTTGAAATTACGCCTCTTCTCAAAGCCTTTTTCTCAAAACCCTGAACACAAAACCACAACTTCTCACCCAACCATTCAAAACCATTAAGTCTTCCTGAAAAACCAACCCTGCCAACCAACCCTTGCCCTCAGACAGAACACACAAGCCCTCAAAAACACACACACTACAACATAGTCTTACACACTGGTGAAATAAATTCAAAACAATACTACAAAAACTGGTTATAAGTATTGTAGCTTGTGATTCTCCCCCTCAAAAACCTTTTCACATGATGAACACAAAAGAAATTCACAAATTCACATTTTTTGTTCCTTAGTGTGCTGTACAGTACCACACACCAAACAACAAATTATTCTGCAACAGCATCCTTCCATCCGTCTTTGGTCAAGGACAGGCCAGAGATTCTCATCCTCTACCTCGTTGTCTACTTCCTCCCTACAACATCTCCATCCTTCAATCCTATGACCCATAATTCCTTTATTATGTTACCATAATTATGCAGATGACACACAGATTCACATAACGATATCACCAGGGGACTATGATCCCATACAAGCGGTGAGTAACTGTATTGAGCAGGTCAACGGTTGGAAGTGCCAGAATTTTGTTCAATTAAACAAGGATAAAACGGAAGTTATTGTGTTTGGAGCCAAGGAGGAACGATTGAAAGTCAGTGCTCAGCTTCAATTGGTAAGGTTAGTAACCACAAACTGAAATCTTGGTGTAGTCAAGGACTGAGACCTGAATTTAAGCAGCCACATTAAGACAATTACAAAGTCAAAGGATTAAAGGACTTATGTCTCAGCAGGAACTGGAAAAAACTTATCCATGCATTTATCTTCAGTCGACTCGACTACTGTAACAGTGTCCTTACAGGGCTCCCTAAGAAATCCATCAGACAGCTGCTCGAGTCCTCACTAAGACCAAAAAGTGGATCAGAGTGCTCCAGTTCTGAGGTCTTTACATTGGCTTCCTGTATGTCAAAGAATTGATTTCAAAATCCTGCTGTTAGTTTATAAAGCACTAAATGGTTTAGGGCCAAACTACATTTATGATCTTCTGCTTCATTACGAACCATCCAGACCTCTCAGGTCTTCTGGGACAGGTCTGCTTTCTGTCCCCAGAGTCAAAACTAAACAAGGAGAAGCAGCGTTCAGTTATTATGCTCCGTATATCTGGAACAAACTCCCAGATAACTGCAGGTCTGCTGAAACTGTCGTTGTCGTTGACTCTTCTTTTTACCACTGCCTTTAATTAGATCAAATGTAAGGCTGTGGATTTATGTCGTACACTGCACTGTGTTATGAGTTGTAGTTTTTTCCCTGTGAGTTTTAGTTTTTGCCATTGTTTCATATGTCTATCTATTTGCCTGTTTCTCTCGTTCCTTGTCCTTAGTAGTTTATGTCTCGTCTTTTATCTTAGCTCTTGGTCCTGTGTTTTAGTTCTTTGTCTTTGTTCCCAGTCCTGTGCCTTGGTTATGTTTTAGTATTTACTTCTTGTTCCTCGTCTTCATTATTTTAGTTTAGTCTGCTCTGTATTCTGTGTCTTAGCTCCTCGTTCTGTGTCTCGGTTTATTTGTTAGTGTTTTGGGTTCTGTCCTGTGTCCAGTATCAGCTATATAGTCTGTTGTGTTTTGGGTTCACTCATGTCCGTCTCTGTCTGTCACTCATGTCTGTCTTCTTCTTCTTCTTAGTTCCCAGTTCTGTGTTTTACTTCGCTTCGGCCTGTGTTCCTTGTTGCTGATCTGTTATGTGTTCAGTTACCTGTGTCATGTCTGTTCCCTCCAGTATCCCTCTGCCTGGCTGTCTCTCTGTTCTCTCCCTGCCTGCCTGTGTCTCGTTAATCCCATTAGTATCACCTGTGTTGCTCCCGCCCTGCTCGTTAGTCCCTGTATATATACCTGGTGTTTCTGTCTTGTCTTTGTTGGGTCATTGTACGTGTATACCTTGTGTTGCAGTATGTCTGTCGTGAGGAGACGCTCAGTCTGTTTTTGGACTTTGTGTTTTCCTTTGTGGACTTTACTTTGGATACAGCCACTACTTGTAGTGTGCTTGCCTTTTGTTAAATAAACTGTTGAACTATACCTGCCAGTCGTGCGTCCTGCGTTTGGGTCCTACAACCTGCTTCACCACACACAAATCCTAACACACTGTGACTTTTATTGTCCTGTTTTACCCTGTTTCTATTTCCTATTTAACTCTTTAATATCTGTTTTATCCTGTCTTATTTTCTATTTCACCCTTTTAAAAATTATTTATATATTTTTTTATTTACCTATGTTGCTTTTATGTTTTATGTAAAGCACTTTGAATTGGCTTGTTGTTGAAATGTGTTATACAAATAAACTTGCCTTGCCTTTATTTGGCAATGCAAAATGCATCGGGATCCCTGAAGGTTTCTATAGAGCATCGTGAGGAAAACAGGGAGGCGCTGATTGTTTTGTTATTTTGGACAGGAGATGCTGCTTTTGTTTGCAGCAGTGGCTCAACAGTGGCTCAGCAGTGGCTCAACAGTGGGGGGGGTGCGTGTGTGTGTGTGTTCTGGGCTTTGGGAATTGTCTGACAGGAAGTATGGAGGACAGGAGGGGTTTGGTATCCTGTGGCGTTTTTGACCAGAAACATGTCGCCGTCCTGTTTGGGGTCTGGGTTTGACACCAACACAAGAGCAGCACACACACACACACGAGTTTGAGAGACGAGGAAAACTTCACTTCTATCTCTCAATAGAACCCGTGCATGTTTGCTGGCACGTTCCAGTCTTAAATGTTCAGTAGGTGACTTTTTTGCTAAAACCGTCACTAATGCTAAATGGTCTGTGATTTTAGCGATTTTACACCACATCACATTCATACATTCACACACATTCATACACTGAGGCAGAGGCCAAAGTGCCAACTGCTCATCAGAACAGAAATAACATTCACATGCAATAAAACATCAATGGACCAGCCACCAGGGGCAATTTGGGGTTCAGTATCTTACCCAGGGATTCGCTGACATGCAGGTGGATCCAAACCACCGACCTTCTGACCCCTCTACCCCCAAGCCACAGCCACCCCTTCACTGTATTCCAGCAGTAGTACATGAGTCAGATCTGTTTAAAAAAAAAAAATTGGTCAGGTTCCCTAAACAAAACAACCAATCAGAGCCAGGAGCAGTCTGTAACGCAGTGTCAATCACTGCTCTACCCGGAGCTTCACGTTCATCATATTTGATGCCTCTGAAGCCTGGGATGCTCTGCCCTGGGCTGCAAAGCGTCAGTGGGGCATCTTTGAGAAGACGAGTCAAAACAAGAGGGACCGGGGTCCTGGTGAGGCTTTTGCCACGGAGAGTGAGCTTTAGAGGGGGTGAGGATAGCGACGTGGAAGGTTTTGAATTTTGTGTTTGATTGTTATTAGGGCTGGACCCGAATATTCGAATATTCCACCGTTGGGTACACATTCAATTTTCAATTATGAGATTCGATTATTAAGGGTTTTTTTCGCGCGGCAAACAGCAACGCAATGAACGCATTTAAATAAGCCTAATTATATTAGGCCGATTGTAGAAGAAGAGCATGATAATAAAATCGCTATAATAAAATTAAAAGTGAATTTTGCATAATAAGGTGTTAGATTTAGCTCCGCTACCGAAACACCGCTCATACCGTGCGCTCTCCACCTGGACCAGCTAAACTATTCTCAGATTCTGCTCTGGACTTGCTCGGATCAGACTCTCAGCTACGGTTCTGTACAGCAGCCACCAACCCGGTTTGACACACAAAGAAGCTTCGAATATTCGCTCTTAATTACTATCGAAGTGTCGAAGCTCAAAAAGTGACATTCGGGCCAGCTCTAATTGTTACCCACTGCAGCTTTAAAGGAATGTTTTGGCAAATGCACTTTTACCCACTTCATGATAGGAGAAGATGGATGTCAGTCTCACGTCTTTGTGCGGAGCTGGAGTCAGGTTGAGATTAGTGCAATGAAGTGCATTAAAAGGTTATTTTAGATTATTTCTCCTCCCCCTCCATCCTCAGTCTGATGAAGAGACCAGGGTCCTGCTCCCTGCTTCCTTTTTCAGTCAAGGTTTTCCGTCTTTCCTGTGGCTTCAAAGAAAAAAGGGGTGTATCGTTTCCACAGGATGTCCAGCACTGGAGAGGAGAGTCTGACCTGTCAGCAATCCGTCACTGAGCTGCCTGTTTACATAGCTGGGCTGGTTTAGAGGAGAGCCGGGGCCGACTGAGGGGAACGTGGCGGAACCGCCGATGGCTGCACATAATTCACAGTCTGCAAGCCTGAAGTTCTCCCGAGGAGGGGGAAGAGTACGGGCCTTCAGCGCCTAAAGAGGTTCGGAGGACAATGAGGGTGTAGATCAACATTCAGGAGTAAATAAAACCCTCCCTGTCGTGATGCAGAGCTTCATCTGGAGACACCTGAAAAACGGAGGAGAACTGGACGCACTGGTGGAATGTGTCTGTTGGAGAACAGCAGCAGTAAAAAAAGATGTAGTTGTGTAACTATGGAGGTTTTTAGATGGTTAAAGATAAACAAGGCACTTTTGAAAGGGTTTAGGGACCATTTTTGGATTTTATTGAGCAGAGTGAGGTGGGTGGAATATTGGCTAATGGGGGAACTCTGGGTAATGTAGTGTACTGTGCTTTGCGTGCATGTGGGGTGGTGGTGAGAGTTGTCTGATTGTCCCATGTCGCAGTGTTTCATCTGAAATATGATCTATCCTATTGGTTCAGACCACTGTAAAATGTTTGTTGCTTTTCTAATACTGTTTTGTCCATGAGGCTATTTTTTCGGAGGTGGCTGTTTAACCTCTGACGTGGTTATTGCTGTCTTTTTGACTTGTGTTCACTTTGTTGCTATTTGCTGTTGTTGTAATATCTCTGTTCATACAAAATAATTATTACACATTCTCCAAAAAGCAAAGGTTTTGAGCCCTGAAATAATGTGACATGAATATGCCATGTAATTTTATCCATCCCAAGCGAGGTATTCTCATACACTATAGCTGAGGTCTTCAACCAAGACTCCTGAGGTCTGACATTTGGAGGCCAACCACCAAATCAGCTAAGGATGTCAGTCGTGGTTTGGCTAAAAGAAGATCAAATTAGGGCTGCACGTAACGATTATTTGAATAATAATGAATAATGTTTTCATTTAGTCGATTAATCCAATGACTAATTTATTTATAGTTATTCTAAAAATACATTTTTATTACTTGATTCGACTTGTCTCATAATAATAATTCAGTATTTTAAACCTGTAGTGCATTGGAATAATGATAATAGTAGCATATCTTAAAATTAGTCTAATTTACATGTCACTGCTGTGTTATGATGTTAGTAATAACAATAGTAATAACAGACCCTATTTGTCAGATGCCGAAAAAAAAAAATACTGGACCTCAAATTCAAAAGGATTGGTGTGACACAGATTAATTTAAACGCTCTTTCACTGAACTGGAAAAGTATTTGACCTAAAACTTAAAATGGTTCTGACGTGGATTTATATCATTACCGGAGTAATATGCAGGAAGATAATGTTTTTGCAGACTGTACAGACAGTCACATACTGTAATGTTAGTTTAAGTCCTTTTCTCGCTCTGATGCGGCCATTAAGGTAAACAGAAAACAGAAAATGGTTGAAAATTAGATGGATGCATGGTGGAACATTGGACAGCAGCGGTGGAGAAATTACTTTTAATATTGGAGCGATGAAGAAACATTTATAGAAATCAATTTTAAGTAACTACCACTAACAGAGACGCGTTCCTTATGCTGATAATCTTAATATACCATCCTTGTGTGGGGATGGCTCTTGACAAATCTCTCTAGGATCCTTTCGCGTCACGTGCACTGCACTTGCTGCAGTGAAGCCTTTTCCCATTTGCAGAGCAATGAAATTGGCTTTGTATTTTCATTGTCTTCTGATGTATTTGACAACCTGAATAGCTGACCTGCTAACGCTGCCAGATGAAAACTCAATGCATCACCAAAGTCAGCAGGACTCCTACTCTGGGCAGCGTGAATATCTGCACTAAAATCGAATGGAAATCCACCTAATATTTGTTGAGATGTTTTAGTTTGGACCATACTGGTGGATTAATAGAGTGATGTCATTAGCATGGCTGTAAAGAACAGACTATTTTCAGAATCAGCTTTATTTGCCAGGTATGTGTACACATACGAGGAATTTGACTCAGAATTGTACATTGCTCACGCTGTGCTTACTTATACAATAATACATTACCACAATAATAAAATCAAACAGGCTACAGTATAGAGAACACAAATATACACACTATAAACAAAAAAAGACAGATTGAGACAATAGTGCAAAGGATGCAGGAATAAATAAGTATTATGTGCAGGTGTTATTTACTTGAGGTAGGTGTATTGGTATACAGTATATACAATATGACAATATGAACAGTATGAACAACTCTGAAATAGAGAATGATGAATAAATAATAAGTGGTAACCAGTAAACAAGTGGCTGATTAGAGGCAGAGTTACTGGGTTATTGCACAAGAATTGTTCCTGACACTGTGAGTCAGAAATCAGCTGTTCATCAGAGTGATGGCTTGTGGGAAGAAACTGTTCCTGAGTCTGTTGGTTTTGGCGTACAGTGCTCTGTAGTGCCTACCAGAGGGGAGGAGCTGGAACAGGTTGTGTCTGGGGTGAGATGGATCTGCAGTGATGTTTCCTGCCCATTTCTTGACTCTGGAAATGTATAAGTCCTGAATGGAGGGCAGGTTGGCACCGATGATCTTTTCTGCAGTCCTGACTGTCCGTTGTAGTCTGCTCCTGTCCTTTTTGGTGGCAGATCCAAACTAGACAGTGATGGACGTGCAGAGGACAGACTGGATGATGGATGTGTAGAAGTGGATCAGCAGCTCCTTAGACAGGTTGAGCTTCCTGAGCTGATGCAGGAAGTCCATCCTCTGCTGGACCTTCTTGATGATGGTGTTTGTGTTGGGCTCCCGCCTCAGGTCCTGGGATATAGTGGATCCCAGAAACCTGAAGGTTTCCACAGCAGATACAGGGCTGTTGAGTATGATGATGGAGCAGAGCTCCTCCTGAAGTCCACGATCATCTCCACAGTTTTGAGCGTGTTAAGCTCCAGGTTGTTCTGGCCGCACCAGAGAGCCAGCTGATCAACCCCCCGTCTGTAGGCCGACTCGTCACCGTCCCGGATGAGGCCGATGACCATTGTGTTGTCACCAAACTTCAAGAGTTTGACAGATGGGTCTCTTGAGGTGCAGTCGTTGGTGTAGAGGGAGAAGAGCAGGGGGGAGAGCACATACCCCTGGGGGGCGCCAGTACTGGATGTGATGTTCCCCAGCCTCACCTGCTGACTCCTGTCAGTCAGGAATTTTGTGATCCACTGACAGGTGGGGGCTGGCACAGTGAGCTGGGTGACTTTGGTGCTGAGGATGTCTGGGAACACCGAGCTGAAGTCCACAAACAGGATCGTTGCATAAGTCCCTGGAGAGTCGAGTAGTTGCAGGACGTAAGGGTGACTGTTTGAAGATGGTGTTTAAGCGGGGGAGAGGTGTGACTGTGGGCTTCTCAAACCTACAAACCATTCAGCTCATCAGCCAGTCGTTGAGTACCAGCAGTGTTGGGGGATGGTCTCTTTAGTTAGTTTAAAATGTTGGCAGGCCTCTCCACACTGACGCAGGGTCGTTGGCTGCAAAGCTGTTATTTAGCTTTTCAGCATAGCACCTCTTTGCAGCTTTGACCTCTTTAGTCATTATGTCCTGGCCTGGTAGTACAGGACTGTTCCCACTTCTGAAGGCTGCCTGAGTTTCGCTGTGAACCAAGGTTTTTGGTTGTTGTATGTGAGGAAGGTTTTAGTCGGCACACATGTCCTACAAAAACTGATGTAGGATGTCACAGTGTCGGTTAGTTCGTCCAGGTCAGTGGCTGCAGCCTCAAAAACACTCCAGTCAGTGCAGTCAATGCAGGCCTGTAACTCCAGCTTTGACTCATTGGTCCATCTTTTCAGGTTTAGCAGATTTATGTCGCTGCCTGTAAGTCAGGATAAGAGGAACCAGACAGTGATCAGAGAGTCTTAAGGCTGCACAGAGCGATATGTGTCCTTTAATGTAGTGTAGCAGTGGTCCAGAGTGTTAGTGTCCCTGGTAGGACACTTAATATTTTGTTTCAGGTTTGGACACGACAGAAGAAGAAAATAGGATGTGGTTCTACTTTCTAGCCAAAAGCAACAACACAACAAGTTAAAGCAGCTGACCTTCACACGTGTCGTGGCAAAAGAGTTTATGCCTGTTTTCATTGGCTACACTTGGCCTTTATCTCAAAGACTGACCAGACACTGTGGTTTTACAATTCCACATAGTTGGGGTAAAAAAGGTAAAAAGAGGAGAAGAAGAAAACCACAGGCTGATGTAAACAATGCAAGTTCCCAAACATTTGTATAAAGAGGTCTACTAATGATTTATAAGATGAGTAATCTAGTCACCGTGTTTATCAGGCCTTAAAGATGCTCACAAAATATAAAGCAGAGATGCAGTTAAGCCGTGCAGTGAAAACTAACCCAGAAATGTGAGAAAAGCAGGGGATTCATTTTGCTGTGAAGTTCGTGAGGTTCTTCAGTTCCTCAGTTTTCTGGTGTTTGAGGATGTTTTCTTCTTGTGTGATCCGACTGAGCCACATGAAGGCTGCAGCTTGTGCAGACCCTGAAGATGACACAAACCAACACACTGTGCTGAGCGCTCACAGGGCCACAGGCCGCGAGGGTGGCCTGGGATTCATTTAGCAAAGAACCAATAAAAACACAAAGTCTTCAGAGACGTCTCTGCCGTGCTCCTTTGGTTCAGGAGGTCTTTTTATTTTTTTGCCCTTGTTTTTGTCTAATTGCACACAGAAGTCTGGTGGAAGGTCAGAACACATCGAAGTGAAGCTCAGGTGATTTCAGAGAGGAACCAAGATTCTGATCCCAAGTTGTAATTCCTGATTCCTTATTGTGTTTTTACCGTTGCATGGTTCTTCTCAGGTTGAGGTGGAGACAAAAGAGTAATCAGTCAAGAGGGAAAAGATCAATGACGTCACAGTGTAGCACAAAGTCACAATCACATCACAAAGTCTGTTTAGTGGTTGTTCATGAGTTTCAATCAGATCACGCGATCTTCCTCAGGAGATGGAGTTTACCCCGCTCTCATGGAAGTGTAGATGTTCAAAATGAGCAGTGGAGCAGCTTCAGTTTTCTAACCACCAATTCTCACTGTCTCGTCTCTGTCTGTCCAGACGGCCACCGACAGCTCGTCCAACTCGTCCCAGAAGAGAGAGCCAACAATGCACACACTGGCCCCGCCCAACTTCTGCGAGACCCGTCGACACCACTGCATCCTGGGACATTTCTACGAACAGCACCGGCCCTCGGATCACTACTTTCTGGAGCAGGTGAGTAGAGTCACGTACACACAAACACCTATAAACGCATGAAACAAAACCGACAGTATAAACTCACAGAATCATATGCCTAAGAAGACAAATAGGAGGAAACTGAATTAACAAGGAGGCATTACAAATTCCAGTTGTATTTGCCTCCAAAACCTTCACAAAACTTTTAAATGCTCTAACTGGGATCAGCCTGTCTAGCTAGAAAACTGTCTGCAAGTGGGTCCAGGTTACAGGGGCTGAGAACAGAAACACCTGTTTGCTCATTTCAGAGATTTCAGTGAACCGCAGTTTTTAAAATTACTAAAAGAACTCTCTAAATTTGCTTCATTGCAGATAGTGATGAGCTGGTGAAGTTTCACTTCATTCCTCCATTTTAGAGAAGATAAGAGCAAATAAAACCATGTGTTTTGTTTATCAATGCACATTAGAGTAAGGAATAAATCGACGTCAAGATCAGCATTGATATCCTCACAAAAAGTTTAGATTTTGACACCTTTATTTGTTGGTTTTATTTAATGTCTTCTGTAGTTAAGTGTGCAAAATAGGATGGGAGAATTTTAAGTAGGTGTGATTCAGGTTAAAATAACTCTCACTTTAGTTCTAAAAGGTTTGGATTACTTGGTGAGAACTGTAGAGGAAAAAATATGTTTTTAACCTGAGCCTTGAAACAAGTTGCTGTCAGTCTGTAATGAGATGATCGCTTATTTAAATCAAAAAGTGACGAATCCCAGCGTGATTTGGTTACAACTATATTCCAATCCAATCCACTTTATTTATACAGCACATATTAAAAAACAACAAGTTTATTAAAGTGCTGCGCAAACAACAAAATAAACAAAAACACATAAAACCTAGACAATACACAACCAGAACACTATACTACTACACTAAAAACAAAGACCACACAGCTCCAATGCTGGATTAAAAGCCAAGGAATAAAAGATTGTTTTATATATATATATATATATAAAAGAGATTTAGTAGACATAGTACTTATCAGATAAGACGCACAGATCTCTCAACCAGGTAGCCTGTATGACCCATAATGCCTCTGGTTTTTGGTTAGGTTCATTTGACTTAAAGGCACCCTGTGGAGTTTTCTTTTGCAAACGCTGATTTGTATTTATATCCATGTTTACTTGTCACAGTCTTTTTCTTCCGTTACCACCCGTAGCATGTAGATCAGTGGAGTGGTGTGAAACCACTGGCGGGTCTGTGCATCAAACCACCTCACATGTTGATAAATAAAACAGGGATCCCCTGAGAGAAAAGCAGCTGTGTATAGCTACGACAAGTCAAAACGAACTCCATAAGGAACCTTTTCATTTACAAAAAGCTAAGGGACTGGTGTAGAAATGGGCATGTTTATCCCTAACATTATTTTAAATGCTGCACATCTAGATGTGGGTTTGTAGAGATTTATTTGCAGCACATACCCCGATTTTAACCAACTAACCAAGGCAGAAGGCCGCCCACCCTGAGTCCAGATTCAGCTCAAGATTTCTACTTCTTTTCTAACTTCTTTAAAAGGGAGATTTTCCTTTGCCTACTCATTGTGGGAATAATCAGTCTTTCTAAATAATATTACAATGATTACAATGAGATAACTTCTGTTATCACTTTGCTCTATATAAATAACATTTAATTGAATAACCTTCGGACAGGTAAACATGGAACTGCTGCTGCCAGCTGTGCTCCTCGTTTTGTGCTGACCTCATGCTGGAGAACTAACTTTTGAAACACTCCTCTGTGTCTCTACAGGCGGTGCACATGTTCCCTCGTCACGTCAGCTTCCAGGTGGAGGAGGAAGAGATCGTACGCATCAACCCCCGCGAGCGTACCTGGTTCACCGGCTACGAGGACTACCGCCACGCCAACTCCACGCGTGACAAACTCTCCCAGCCCGACAACCTAGACGCCTATGTTCACTTCGCCAAGAGCGAGCCGCCCAAACATGACTACACCTACCCGTACCCGCTGAGCTGCGACATGCAGCGAGGCTGCGATGGCAAACCCGGCTGCCTGGAGCTGGGCAGCGGCCACAGAGCCGTGGTGACGGTGCAGCCGCTAGCTCTACAGCCCAAAGGCAAGAGGCGAAAGGAGGACGGTGAGCGCTCGCGCTGTGTTTACTGTCAGGACATGTTCAACCATGAGGACAATTGGCGGGGCCGCTGCCAGGAAGCACCTGACCCCATTCAGACCTGCATCAGGCGGGTCAGCTTCATGTGGTGCGCAGACAGCCTGCTGTATCACTGCATGTCGGACCCGGAGGGAGATTACTCGGACCCGTGCTCCTGTGACACAAGCGACGAGCGCTTCTGCCTGCGCTGGGCGGCGCTGGTGGGTCTGTCGCTGTTGGCGCCCTGCATGTGCTGCTACGCCCCCCTCAGGGCGTGCTACCATTGCGGCGTAGCCTGCCACTGCTGCGGTGGGAAACACAAAGCTGTGGGCTGAGTCGTCACAGGCCTCGCCCTCCTCACAGAGACAGCAAGGACTCATGGGAGCAGGCGGGAAACAGAGGCTGCTGTGATTTTTACATTGTTGTTGTTCTCGTCTCTGATTTCCAGAAAGAGCAAAAGAAGAACTTTGTCTCAACAGATGGAAAAAAAGTTTCCTGATGTTTTCTGTTTGTCTTTTATGACATTGGGGATCAAAAGGCTTCCAATTCTCACAAAGACGTAAAAAAATTATTATATATATATATATATATATATATATATATATATATAAAGGTACTTTATATTTTTACACTCATGTGTTTTAAAGGCTTGAATATATGATAAGCGTTGTGTGAGGTCAGTATGAATGTTTGTAGAGGGAACTGTAGTTCACTGACACAGTGCAAAACATTTTCACCCTAACAAAACATTTTAGGGTGCTCATAATAATCATTTCAAAAAACAAATCAAGTGTCGGGAGATAATTTCACCTTAAGGGGTTAGTTTAATATAAAAAAAAAAAAAGGTATTCACAAAGAAATTTAGATAATTGATGGAGATCAATCATGACAGCAGTATTGATCTTCTCATTAAATCCTCAGTAACAAAGCATTTGTTCTAACTTAAACTTCTACACACAGTCACTCCTGCTGTTAAGATGAATGTTTTTCACTGTGTCGGCAGCTGTGGTTCCCTGATGTTCAACTGAGGCACTTAACTGGTCTGAAAGCTGCTCTGCTTACCTCCCAGCAAACTGAACAGATACACTAGTTTGGCTGACCAATAAGATGGCAGTTCCCAGTCCTCAATAGTCCAGAAACACACATCTGACAATTTGCCAGAAGGTAACATTTGCAAAACTGTACCTCAGCCTGTTATTTGAATAATCAAGTCTAAAGTTTTATGCAGATGAGTCATCCGTGTGTATTTACTAACTTGCTACTACTACTACTATCTTGCATTCTGGTCATACTGGTCTGTCTTTTATGGTTTGTGGTTTGGAGGTTTGTTTGATGATAACAACAAAAAACCCCAGTAAGAGCAAAGCTTTGACAGAACACTGCTTTAGATGTGTGTGTGTGTGTGTGTGTGTGTGTGTGTGTGTGTGTGTGTGTGTGTGTGTGTGTGCGTGTGTGTGCGTGCAAGGATGTATCTGAGACTGTCTGTCAAAGGGCTGGGTATAAAAACGTATCCGTAATGTAAAATAATTGAATAATGTACTTAACTCAAAGACACTTTGCTCGGGTTTCTTTACTTATTGCAGTTTTGAAGTCTTCGGTTGGCCTGTTTATTATTTGCAAAATACAGCTGGCCTTTAAAAACATACTCCCTTAAAATAATTGAAAATGTCTGAAAAAGAAAGGTAATAAACAGTAATTCTTGTTTATGCCCAGCTTGAGCCTGGATGGAACAAGTCGAGGGCTCATCCCTTTGTTCCGGGGTCATATGTTCCGGGTCCTATGTTCCCGGGGTGCTATATTCCTGGGGTCCTGTGTTCCCGGTGGGCCTATGTTCCCTAGGTGCTATGTTCCCTGGGTCCTATGTTTCCTGCGTGCTATTAAAAGGGCTATAAGTAAGGGCTAATTAGTTCAAATTGCAAAAGAACTTAAGAGATATGGACATGTTAAGCCATCAGTGTCTAAATTTGCCTGCTAATTTGAGGGTGTGGGTTTCAAGAAGTATCACATCAGTAAGCTGTATAAGCTGTAAGTGGGTGATTTCAGAATGTTGACCCATGTTGACATTTAACATTTGAGCTATGGGGAAGAAACATTGCTGGTCTCCTCATTGTGTCATATCAAGAGCATATTGAGCTGGGGAAGAAAGAGCCCTGGGAGCATAGAATCCACAACAACTTTATGAAATGAGCACAAAGTCTGAAAATTCTGATAAAGTTTGACAAAACTGAGGAAAATGAAAATGAAATTTTTGAAACAGGAAAGCGAAACAGTAGGTAGAGGAGACTGAACGGCTGTTTGATTTTCAGGATAAGGTCTTTCATAGTTAAACTTTCACCTCAACATGTTTAGACATTACTCTGTCAATAGAAACAATATGTAAAGACCTTGTATCTTTTATAGACTTTTATACCTCATAATCCTGAGATTCCTGTCTCGTAATTCTGAGATAAGGATCTTGTAGTTATTAGATCTAAAACAATTGTTCTGATGTTGGTTGTTTTGTTAGTCTGGTCAGTTAGGAATGTGCACACAGAGTTTTAAATGGCCAGTATGGTTCTTCAAAATGTGTTTGATCATTTCAAAACAACACTATTTATGTCACTGTTCATGAGAGCAACTGAGTGCAACACTATGAATCTCTGTGAGGGCTGGCTTTTCACGGCGCTTTTCAGTGTAGCTGTTAAGAACAACTATTAACACTTCCGATTCGTTCCGACTAGTTCTGATGGACCCTTGACTCGACTCTTGGCCAAGTGGTAATGGCTGTTTTCCATTGTTGATAAAAAATTTATCAGCCTGATCTTGATGAGACACAATTCGTAAGATCAGCCATCACAACATACTTCAGAACTAAGGGAGGAGTCAGAACTTCGCTTGCTAGCTGTTGTTTTATTGGATTGGTTCTAACCAACCCATTCTCACTCCCCGACTCGTCATTTATGGACGCGTGGTCAAGACCTATCTGTGTCAGTTTATAACGCACTGGGGGTCCCTATAGCGTCATAGTTCAACCCAGTGGTGGGAAGCCCTGTAGCGTCAGTTTTTGACGGTAAAGGGAGGTATATGATATTTAACAGAACAGACTGAGTAAGGAGGTGGTCAGGGTGGATGGAGGGCCAGAACCCCGACTTTGAACCAGGGGAGCAGGGTTCATGTGCCGTATGAAACAAAAAGTCAACATAAAATATTTTTATATAAGTTAAGTGACGTTCTTTTGTTGACTAAACCTAACCAAATAGTTTTTGCGCTTAAACCTAACCAAATTGCAATGTTTCACAACTTTAATATGATGTATGTAATAATGTGCCGTTTCAAAATGACGATGTTTCGAAACACTAGCGTTTTATTTTGAAAGTGTAACAGGACGTTGCATTTGCATTGTTGCTAAGCATTGCTAACGTGACCCCGGTGCCCTAAACGTCTGAAAATGACGCTAAAGGGGTATCCAGGGCATTAAAAAGCGACACCAAAGGGCCTTGACCAAGCTTCAGTATATGACTAGTTGGGAGTGAGAATGTGTTACTCTAACTTAACTTTCTGCCAGCTGCTGCAATGATAACAATGTTCATTTCATCTTTAGAATAACAAGATCATTCTTTCTTTTTTAGAAATAATTTACAGAGTATGTTTCATGGGAAAGAAATTTATCCACCTTAAATAATTTTAAACCTCCAATTTAAGATTTTGTGCTCATTTCATAGAAACGTGCACATGTGAATTTTTAAGAGGCCTGAACACTGAGTGGTGTTGAATCTCCCAAAGCTATAACTAGTGAATAAGCTGCAGCAGTTCTGCACACGGACAGACCTCATCAGTCTTCACCCCTATATAGAAGAGAAAACTTCAACAAGTGAGAAGCTAAATTATTTATTGTCCTTGTCGTTTTCGGTGCTGTAGTGATTTCTTTTGAGGTGTGTGTTTGGACCTAACACTATGTTTTCCTGCTATTACAAGTTTTGACAACTTGAAATTCTTTGGTCGGTCTTCTGTGATGAAGCAGCTCCCCAAATTATGTTGATTAAATTAGATTTACTTCCTTTAAGGCAGCCTTTGGTTTCAGTTCAGTTTTATGAAAATCAGCTAACATAAACTTGAAACTTGCTTTGGATCATTTATCGCTATTTTAGCTAGGCAAGCTTTATTTATTAAATTTTATGTTTGTGTTTTTTTAATTTTGTGATCATGCTTTAAAACTCCCATTGGTGGTACATCCAAGAATAATTGATAATGAATGAATGTTGTCAGGAATTCAAATTAAGAAGAAAAACGTGGAAACCTGCGGCTTTTCACATAAAAAAAGTTTCTCTTTTTCATCCAACTTTTAAACCTCACGTCAAAGTTTAAGCCGAGTTTGAGTGCTTTCAATAAACACAATACAGTTTTAGATTTGTGGGACATCTTTTAGTTTCCACTCATTACTATATATTCAAGGAAGGTTAAATCATTGGCAACTGGACACTAGTTGAAGATACTCGAAGATGTTTCGCCTCTCATCCGAGAGGGTTCTTCAGTTCTGACTGACTGGCAGGGAGTCCCAGCTATTTTATCTCTGTGGGGCCATTGTCCAGGTGGTGGATACTGCTTCATTCGTTAGTGCTCCTGGCATTTGTAACGACAGTCGTTATGGTCGTTGCAGACCCCCTAGGCCAGGGGTCTGCAACCTTTCCCATCTAAAGAGTCACTTTTGGCCAGAAGAGAAAAAAAACCTGGTTGAAGCTTTTTATATTTTATTACTTTAGGCTATTTATGATTATTTGGCTACTTAACATAACTTTGCAATTTAAATGAAATGTTTTGGTGCATTTATTAAAGTAACGCAGATCAAATGGCCGCGGTTGGCATTGATTTTAACCTTCCTGGATAACTATGACCTGGGTGACTGAGAACCTTCACAGACATCTTTTCTATATAATGTCAAAATCAATAAGAAAACTCTTCCTTGAGTTTTGTAATCATTCACAGTTAACATAAAATCTACATTAATACTTGTCAGCGCCACGTTATTGTGGTAATGCAGTTTAGGTGCAGATTCATTGGTAAAATATGCACTATAATACCTCATATTGGTAAATCACTGACAAAATGAATGTAGACTTGATGTTGACTGTGATGGATTGCACAACTCGTGCAACTATCAAGAGTCTGCTGAATGATATAGCAGTCGCAGCGTATCTCTGGGGAAGACGACGGTCATCATCAGGTAAAAATTTTAATTTGAACAAATTGCGTCAAATACATACGTTTTGTCACATCCTTCGGCATCTGGTACCAATGCACATGGGATCCTGTAGCGTCATAGTTAACCACTAAAAGTAGACCTGACTTTCACCCAGTTTCCTGTGTGAAACAAAAAGGCCACGTTACTTAACTTACGTAACATAAGTTACGTAGTTATTTCAACCCAAACCATGATCTTTTCCTAAACCTAACCCACTAGTTTTGTTTCCGAAACCTAACCAAGGTGAGGGGGTTTCACAACGTTAATTACTTGCCCTGTCACAATGTCACTAGTTTTATTTTTGAAAGTCTAACCGGATGTTGCATATTTATTTTTGCTAACTTGAACACAGAGCCATACATGTGCAAAAATGACGCTAAAGGGTACCCAAGGGGTTAAGAAGCGACACCAAGGGGTCTTGCCCAATTGTCAATATGTGATGACTTGGGAATGAGAACGGGTTACAACATTATACAGTACCGGTCAAAAGTTTGGATGCACTCTCTCAAGTGAATGGGAAGGTATGTCCAAACCTTTGACTGGTACTGTATCTGCTAAACATCAGCATGTTTGCATGCTCACATTAGCATTTAGCGCAAAGCAGCATTGTACCTATAGTAAGTACAGCCGCACAGAGCTACTATCATGATGTTTAGTCTTGTTATATAATTCAGAAATGAAACGAGCGGCTGTCTGGAATGGTTGACAATATATATTCACTTTTCTAAAACACAGATCATGTTTGTTAGTTAGCTGTTATGTAACGTATACGTGATTTGCAGTAAATAGGCAAAAACATTGGTATGCCTTTGGTCCTTTAAACGCACGCGACTTCAGAATAAGCCCTCATCACAACTCTGTCAGCTAAGTGGGATTATCTCTCTGAAGCAAGTTTCAAGTCTATTTTATTTTCATATAAAGTCATTTTTTCACAGGTTTGAAATCAATTAAAATTGTTTGGAAGATGTGATGGCAGTGATGTAAAACATACAGACAATTTGTATTAAACGGTCTAAAACATGCAAAACCATACGTAGCACATTTGATTTTAAAAAAGATACTTTTTTTTTTTTAGGCTCAGTCAAGCAACAATCAGGAGTGAAGGCCTCTGTTTAGAAAGCAGTCGTCCTGTCTGTCTGTCTGTCTGTCTGTCTGTCTGTCTCCTCTCTCTGCTCTGTTTCCTGTCAATCAAGCTTCATGATAGTGCTGCCATTCGTTGTAGAAAAGATTTCCCACGTTTATCTTTCTATCTGCGGCGAGGAAAGTGAACCAAAATCAGTTTGTCTGTTGGACGCAGCGTCTTCAGCTATTAAAAGGAAAGTGCCTGAAGCC